TACAAGGCATTATAAATGGCAACCTCTTGGGGTCCGAGGGGAACCAGCAAAAACACATGCATCATTCAGAGTGATTAGTGAATTAGTCACCATGAAATAGACAATTCTTTTCTTTATGGAACATTACAGTTTATTATAAATTATTTATCTGTGCACTTTTTTTTTAATCGGTTATCTGCAAAAATGCTTACTGATAATTTTCCCAGGTTGCATCCATTACTACAGCAGTACGAGAGCAGTCAAATGTTTAATGTCACGATTGTTCCAATCTATTTGCATTAGTTTATATCCAGCTGGTCACTTTTATGTATTAGTTATCCAGCAAAGTTGTATATTTAAAGCTAATGAAGTGAGAAAGCAAACTGTATGGCTGGCCATGCAGGTCATTTCAGTTCTTTATCAACTCAACACTTGTTATTTTGATTAGTTAATCATCAATAGTTCTAAAATAGAAGCATATAACATGTGAGAGACCATATATGCGTGTCTAATTTCAATGCAATGGCCTTTATGTAGATATTTGGATATGGTGCCAATGCCTGGCCATCTTTAAGCATAACTGTTCGGATTTATATGAAATGGTAACACTTTACAATAAGATTCCATTTCTAACATTAAGGATAATAAATGCTGTAGAAGTATTGTTCCTTGTCAGATTGTTAATTTCAACAATCAATAATACATTTTAAAGTTGTATCTGTTAACTTTAGTTAATATACTATGAACTAACATGAATAAATCAAGGTATGATATTTAATATTTATACATTTCATTAAAAAAGTAGTCAATTTTAAAAACTCTGACTTATTAATCAAACAAGTGTGGTCCAACCTAGTTATCGTTATCAGTTATCTGTAAAATTCAATATTGGTCGACCTCTACTCAATCTTTTATCACAACAACTTCCCCTCCCACTTGCAATGACATCTTATCTCTGATGACGCGTTTACAATAGTAAACAACAAACCCATGATCCAATCAATTCCAGATGGACGAAAAAATCCCACCCTACATTTTTTTTCTTGTTCAAGATTCAGATTCACTTGAATATACGTCACAATAGGGAATAACAGTAGGGCTGCCCCCTAATAGTAGACTAGACATTAGCCATCAAGAGGCTTAGTTGACCAAATTTTAATTAGTCGTTTAGTCACAGGAAAAAAAAAAAACCTCCACAGGAATTGGTAAAGTCCCACAGTCCGATGGATAGATCGTAATTATGGCCCTATCCCAAATGACACACTTCATGCACTTACAATGGATGCTGTGTACGTGTGTCCGATAAGTCCACAAGACCGCAGGGTGTCCGATTTGTCAGGGTGTCCGATTTCAGGTTTCAGAAGGGCGTTCGTATGCGCCCCCCTTTGCGGTCGATATGTGCCCTCGATGCGCACTTTTGCAGAGCCCACACTGAAGCGAGATCCGCAGCAGACTTCTTCCCGACAGTCAAAGCGGTGTTATGTCACGAAAGTGCGGACTCGTAGGAAGACCGCAAGTGTTTAGGGTGCCATTTGGGACAGGGGCAATGTCAGGCAGGAAATGTTCACCTTTCATTCATCGACATCAAACATGGCTTATCATTTGAAACATGCAAGTAGTAGCTTAACATTAGCTACTTTACATGCTCGCTCTCTATAACATTAATTAGAAGCTAAATAAATGTGGGCTTTTTTGAGGCGCATTTCCAAGTGATCGTGCGGAGTGTGGAAGCTAAATTAGTACAGCGCTTCCTGCATGACATGTTTTACTTAACATGCATTTCTCTATATGCGTCGAAAGTGACTTAGTGGTTTAGTGTTTACCTCTAATGTAGAACAATGTTACATAGAATATTATATCTCAACCCTGAAACTCAAATCATCAAACGTGCGACTAGTCGACTAATGCCTTTCTTAAATTAACGACTAGGCTATTAGTTGACTAGAAAAATCTTTAGTCAGGGGCAGAACTAAATAAAAGACCATTACAACTTCCGTTTAATGCCAACTGTAATGCCTGTTCTGTTTCTAATCTGCTTGTCACTGGGAAAAGTCAAACAATATTTTCATGTTCTTTGAAATGCATAGCGAATGCAGAAAAGACTAAATACAAGAGTACAAGATGAGAACCAGTTCTGGATTCTTCCCCTGCTATTCACTGTCGCTTAGTGAATTTGTGAGTGCCACCAAGTCGTAGTTCTATGTAAGAGCAGTGCTAAGGAAAAGACAGAGATTAGAGATCTGTTAAAAAAAATTGCACTGACAGCATAAAAACGTTGGTCTGAAGTTCTGAACAGATATTTATAGCACTGAATTTCCATCTTGGTGTTAACAGGCCTTTAATCTTAAACACCAAATATATACTCCAAAGATTGTGGAATCATTCAAAATCAGAAACTAAATCATCAGTTTTCTTATATTCTCAATCCTACTAATGTGGATGCAAACTCTGTACAGTCCATAATTAAGAAATAAACGATGATGGCAAAGTGATATAGTTTGCTCTGAACTTTACTTTTGTCATTTATGTCACTCATAGTTTAACTTACCCATTTAGTCAATGTGGCGTCTTTGATCATTTTTTTTTTACAGGAGATAAAAGCTGTAACGTTAACTTAACGTTAGCTGTTTTAAAAGCGCCAAACAGGATTTAGGCGTGTTCGCCAAGTGGTCCAAAATTTTCGGATAAAAGCAGTGCAAGTAAGTTACACAAACAGACTATATTAAATACGCACGGCTTTACCGAAATTATCAATGTTAAAAATCAAATTACTGGAAGTTTGTTTGACGTGGAGACATTTAGCCTGGGTTATTTTATGTATATATGCACACATAATATGAACACTTGCGTTTTTAAATACTATTGTTAAATCGAAAATAAATAACGCCAATCCACCCTTGCGCACATATCCACCTTTCCTCTTTGTTTGGTCATACTGGTTCAATCCTGCTGGTAAACTAACTGGCTGAACGCAGAGATAAATGTTCACCATCCAGGCCAGAGCCAGGCGTTTGTAGAAAACATTGTCATGTGTATTGTTTTCGGTAGTAATGTTCGATGGCTATGTGTGTGTTCACACTAAGCCATGGGAGTTAAATGAAGCTCTGTGTCAGCTAGTCTGTATTAGCGGCCGCTTTCAGCCTAGCTAGTCGAGCTCAAAACAGCTATTCATCCAAACTGCATAATTACCGGTAACTACAGTCCATACCAACTACCCACCACAACCATACCATCCATTAAGAAACGGCATTACACATTCAAATCGTTACTCAAAGCAGCTTGGTGGGGGGGATTAAATTAACGGACTGTCGAAATTCAAAAATCCACTAGCTGGTTAGCTGAGATTAAACAACCCCCATTCCCCTCCTCCATGTCAAACAACCCAACGTTAAATGGCGAGAATCAAGCATTTTTCTCACCTGGAGTTAGCCTGTGTTCTCCAACCATTGACTGGGGCGACATCGAGTGTGCCGGGCTCTCTGTTGACGGGCGAAGACCGCATCTCTGCGGGGAAGGAGTAGTCGGAGTCCCCGGTAGAGGATTGCACCTCCTTCGCTTGGGGGACTGCGGGCTGAGAAGGGCCTCAAACTCCATAGATCGCTTCAACGTCGCGCCACAAGCCATGATCGCTGACTTAATGAGACAATAAACAACAACGGTAAAATAACAACTTTTTTGATAATAAAATACTTAGATTTCCTTCTCTAATTCGACTTTTTCAGGGGGTTTTATTGAGCTTCGCACGATATCGGCGGCCCCCCCTCTGTTCGCACACCGGTTTAAACACCAAGTGCCAGATTTGTAGCAAAAATGCTAAAACGACACAGCCGAGGACTGTACCATTCACTGAGAGACGGGGGGCCGAATGTTATAAACGAGTTTGTTTTTTCTCAAATAAAGTTATATCATAACTTATTTTGTTTACTAAGCAACAAAAAAATTCATGTGGTTTAAAATATCTTGCAAAAATATAAGCTATATGTTAATTAATTTTTTACTTTATAAGTAAATCTACTACAGTAGTAATCGTCACAACCCGTGAGTAGTGGATTATGTTAATGCCCTCTCTCAACATAGTTTCCAGTGATGTGCAGCTCCAAATCAAAACGATTTTTATTAATAATGAAAGTGATAGTTATACTTACTCGGGTTTATGCTTGCTATTGTTTATCTTTTCCTGTATAAACAGGCCGCTTGTACCGACATTTATGTGGAGGCTATTTGCATAGAAACGAACACCTTTTATTATAAATTTACTTAATATTTTAATATTATATTTAATATTTTAAGATATACGATCATTATCTATCTCCCTTATGAATATAATACATAGGTAAATATATAAAATGAATACATTATGTACAATATTTGCTTAATATTATTAATGTATAATATATGCTCTTTTTTCGTCAATATTTGTTTTTCTAATTTAAACAATATCTTAATATGCTCACTGAACTCTTTGTTTTATTTTTGGATTAGTTCTTGGATTAGTATTTGGATTTCATTCTAAGAAAAAAAAAGGTTACATTTCCACTCCTCCAACAGCTTAATCCTGATTGGTGCCGTACAATCATATGACTCTGATCAATATTTATTGAGTTTATTTGGCCAAAGACCATATTTCTGGAGGATTTGCATGTTGGAGTTTGTTTGTGTTAGCCATCAAAGCAGTCTTTCAAATCATGAGGAATAATTTCCTCACTGTCTCTTAACACCTCTGTTTAGACGCAGTGTTCGGTATTTGAATATTACATACACCATATGAATATCACACTTTTAAATCCCAACATTTGTCAATTTTGACTTAATCCAATGAAAAAACTTTAAAATGTAAAACATATTGGAAGCTAATAATGTAGGCCTAATTGAGTATATAATAATTTCAAAAGATCCTCAAACTGTGCTGTATCATCAAGAGGGTTAATAATATTCAGGAAAATGTGTTTTTAATGATGTATCAGTAAAGGAATTGGTCAGATTGAAGTGTAAGTATGGTTTCTTAAACAATGTAACAGTAATTTATAGTTATGGCATACAGTATTTTATTGAACATACAATTATGCAAAAGACCTTAAAAGTCAATATAAGATTACACTAATTACATTGGATTTTGCTCTATTAGCAGACTCTTTCTTACCAAAGCAACATATAATAATGCACTTAGTGTATCATAACATTTATCATTGTGATATAGTATACATACAGCCAAGGCAGACAAATTACAGAATGTAGTGCTACAAAGCATATTGTACAATCGATCCAAAAGGGAGGCGAAGTTTTTGCCTGTAGTCATCAATAATGCTGAAGGTATTTTGTTTCACAGTGTAATCTATATACTGTTTATATTGGCATCTTTTATGTTTGGGACAAAATAGCAAGTGATTTGCCTGTTCTGAGTACTTAAGTAGATAATTGCACTCCTGTAGAAAGAATAAACAGTATTATATATCAAAAGCTGATCACAATAGCCACCTTACTACACACTGACCTTGTATGTTCTTTTAATTTATAAGCATGTTTTGCTCATGTTAAAGTTCTTATAAGTATGCCAACTTCTTCCTTTCATATTTTCCACACTTTACATGATATCCTGCAAATTCTTATCACAAAACAATGTAACTGCAAGGCCTACTATGATGAAAAAGAACTACATTTTGTGGAATATTTCAGCTTCTGACCAGCAAAATGGATAAAAATAATGAACAAAATATTTTATAAATAAATAAAACTTTATGAAATTTGTATGCTGTTTTGCTGGTTGTCTACACTCTCGGAAATAGTATCTGGATTACTATTACTCACTGCCTGATCCTTGCTCTTTTTGCCGGAACTATTTTCATTTCTTATGCTATATGCGTTTCCCAAAGTATGTTCCCTGCATGCCATGCAACATTTGAACAGTGCTAACAGTTCTCCCCTTAGCTCTCGACAGCGTAGAGCGTATAGGAGCGGGTTTACACACGAGTTCACCAAGCAAAGCGTGCTACAGAAAGCGAACATTCGCTGTTGTTTATTCGTAAGGGTCACCATGACATCCACCATCATAAAGGACAGGACAGGCAGCCAACAAACCGCGAGGATTAGGAGGATCAGACTGAAGGTACGTGCGAGCTGAATGTCCATTCGCATTCGAGCCTGTCCTTTTACGCTCGACCTTCCACACTTTGGTCCACTCATAGCTGATTCGTGCCGGTTTGCTTTTAACAGGATGAGGGCATTAGCCACTGTGATAAGGAAGAGCACCACCAGTTGCAGGCCCGTCCAGCAGGCCAGGTAGTGATGATCCACATAGGGGAAAAGACGGGAACACGGAGGATCCAACCAGGTTGTGCACCTCCAACCCATCAGAGGAAGGAATGAAATTATAATCGTTACACACCATAATAATACTATAGCGAGCTTGGCCCTTGTGCAAGTCAATAGCACCTTGTAATTGGAAGCCTGGTAGATGCAGAGATAACGGTCCAGTGCTGTCAGCAATAGACTTCCCACAGAGCCCGTGAAGGCCATTGTGACGCCACCCAGCTTGAACAGATAGATATTAGCGCCGTCGTCTTTACTATATAGATGGAAATCTAGAAAACTGATGGTGAAGAAACAGCTGGCAAAAGTGTCAGCCAGTGCCAAGCTGCTGATGAACAGGTATGATGGGCGTCTGCGCAGAGTGGCGGAGCTTGCAATGACCACCAGGACCAAAATGTTCTCCAGGAAAGTCACAGGACCAGCTAGAAAGCAAATTGAGCCAATAGCTTTCTTCTCTGGTGTGCTCAGGACCATGTAGCACTGCAGGCTGTTGCACAAGCTCGAATCTGCAACAATTCAGGAACGAAATTATTCAAAATAATTAATATGATTAATATTTAAACATTTTAAACAAATATTTCATTAAGAATACTTTTAAATACGTTCAAATATTTTTTTTATGATGGGTATCTTATGCTCACCAAGTGTTTACAGTAATATTGTGAAATATTTAAAATAATTATTTTTTATTTTTTATCTATTTAAGATGTAATTTATTTCTATGATGATAAAGCTGAATTTTCAGCAGCCATTACTCCAGTCTTCCATGTCACATGATACTTCAGCTGATTTGGTGCTCAAGAAACATTATCAACGTTGAAAACAGTTGTGCTGCTTAATAATTTTGTGGAAGCCATGATGCGGTTGTTCATTTATTTATTTTCTGAATTTATTTGAAATAGAACTGTTTTTGTAAAAATGTAAAAGTATTTTACTGACCTCAAATTAATTAATTAAAAAAAATCCTTAAAAATTACTAGTAAAATTATCACACCACAACTTGGAAAGACATGTCATGATCACAGATAGACCATAGAAAATCTGAATGAGAAACTATACCTGTGGTTGAAATGTTTGTACTTTCATTTAAATAAAGCACAGTGGTAGCTTCTTGATCTTGTTCCAATTCACTCTCCATTTCCCCAGGACAGAATTGATCTATTAAAAGTAAACGATGAATCATGAAACTTTGATTTTTGGAGTCTGACATGATTAAGAGGGATAAAACACTCATTTAAAGTCAAACATGTCTCCAAGCAACATTTTTATTAGGCTAATGCATTCTATAAATAAAACGACATTATTCAGGCTGAATGCCTTAGATTTGAAAGAGAAGTGATGTTATATTTAATGTGAAATAATCAGCCTGTCCCACATGCCTAAACCACACGGTGACCTAAAGCTGTTCAATAGATTAGAGAGTTACATATTGCCCTCTGCTGGCCAAAGGACCACGCAGGTTTATTACAAGCGAAGGATGGACAAATGAAGCAAAACTATCAGTGTTATTGTTTGATTCACATGTTAATGAACCATAACCAACCATATTTTCACTAGTATCCACTAGAGAAGATAGAGTATTTTTCTATGTGGCTCACATGCTTTGGAATATAGCCTTACAAGCAAAGTCCAGAAAGCAGACACATGGTTTAACTATACAATGAAAACTAATCTGTTTAGTTAGGTAAATAGTCAATTTAAATAGTCTGCTCCCATTTCATTGTTCCCTCCTTCCACGGTCACCTTATTCATCCTTTCCTTACAAGAGGCACTAATATATTTTTCTTCTTTATCCTCCCACATTTTCATCGCAAGGCGCATTAGCTCCATGCCATCTCTTTTTGTCTTCACTGTTCTTAAAATTTCTAGAAATGTCAGATAATGTTCCGGTTAAAGCCCCTTCTCATGTTAGCTCTAATAGAAGGGCTTTCCCGCAGAGTCTTTGTTCCTCCCAAAATGTCTTCCTCATTTAGACTACTTAAATATTCTTGTAAGTTTTTAGTGTGTGTTTTTAAGTTTTTAGTGAATGTTTTATAGCCACTTTCACTTTTGGTGGCACACTGGGGGTTAAATGATTTTTATTTTTATTTATCTTCTTTAGTTTTCTCATTTCTGTAAAAGTGCTTTATTGTAAAAAACGCTATTGATTTGAACTGACCAAAATAAGACAAAGGACTGTACAAATCACCATATGAAAGACATCTGAAAACTTAAACACTGAGTCAACATAAACTGTTGGCAATAAAATGTAGAAGTCACAAACACATCCTGAGGTTAAAAAACAAAAAAACACATCCTCGGGTTAAAGCTTTCACACTCTCACACAAGTGAAATGTAAGAAGATCTTAAAGGGATAGACCCCAAAATTTAAAATTTGCCATTACTTACTGACCCTCAAGTTGTTCCAAACCTGTATGAGTTTCTTTCTTCTGCTGAACACAAAATAAGATATTACCAACATTCTTTAAAATATCTTCTTTTGTTTTTAACAGAAGAGAGAAACTCATACAGGTTTGGAACAACTTAAGGGTCAGTAAATAAATGATGACAAAATTTTCATTTTTGAGTGAATTAATAACAATTTACATATGTCTTACAAATAAGGGCAAGAAAAAAACTGCTGTTCCTTTTACCCATTAGAGTTGTTTCAGTTCACACAGGATTTTGGCATAGCCTACACATTGATCAAATGAACTGGTTCTTACCTTTGTGTTTTTCTGTTGGTAGTGTATTGAATCCAGTTATTGTTTTTCTGGTCTTTCTGCAGTTTGCCTCTGATTACAACACGAAATCATATGCCACAGCCACACCCCCAACGAGAGAAAGAGAGAACCAAGATATCGGTATCCTTCCAGACAGCTGTAATGAACTGTGATGTATTTATCATATATGAGCAGAGATGCAGGTTACAGAGACTAAAGTGACCATGACACCTTACTGAGCAAAGAAAAGCAACAGATGGAAAGTACCAAAGCCGTTACTCTCTAAGATCCACAAAGTATCCAAAGAGGAAGCTTTTTGTGTCTCATCACCACAAGATGAAAAGCGCGTAATAGATGCTGAAACAATTCACTTTTACCACAGCTTCCTCATGTTGTTGCTGACCTATTTCACAATAATTTAATTTGTAATTTACCCTTATCTTGCCAGCAGATGGTGGAGAAAAAATGTCGGTTACGTCTCACTGTTCCAATTTTTATGCATTTTCATTTCTGTAAATGCTTATTCTGAAAGGCTTTAAGTTTAGAGGCACATGTTGTGAGGAATAACAACGCAAAATGTTTTTGAGCGTTTCTCATTTTAAGCTCCCCTACCAGTAATAAATAAATTAACTAATGAATAAAGGAAGAAATATGTTGATGTCCATGGGCTAGTGTAATCGAATATAGATATACCCGCGGAAAAATAAATATATACACCTATGACTTGAGGTTTAGTAAATCATGGGCGAAAAGCTATCCCTTTAACTATTAAATATTGAGTGTAGCTTTATTTTTAATCAACAGGTGGCGCTTGTGGATCTTTTATGTACTTAAAGGGATAGTTCACCCAAAAAAGGAAAATTCGGTCATCATTTACTCAACCTTATGTTGTTCCAAACCTGTATGAGTTTCTTTCTTCTGTTCTATCTATACACGATTTATCTTTTTGTGTGCCATAAAAGTATTGTTTTGTTTCTTGTGTACATCTGTTTCTCCCCATAGTTGGTCATTTGACCTCTTCTCAAATGGTGTTACCAATAAGAGCCTCCGACCCAACCTACTTTCCAAACATAGGATTCAAACTGAGGCCAAGCCCCCTGGAAAGCTGTAAACCAAGGTTGCATCCAGTGGGTGTGCACTTCCGTCACCAAATATGGGTTTTGATTGAACAGGCAAACAAGTGCTGTATTATGCAACAGGTTTGCTTGAGGGATAAGCAGGATCTACAGATGAGGGGATTTTAAATGAGAATTGAAAACTTTCACATGTTTAGAACCACCACCACTTCAGTAAAAGTTTTTACAAATTACAGTTTTTCTTAATCGATTTGGCTCATTTATTTAATAAGCCTTAGCATTCTCTAAACTATAAGTGCAATTGTCTATATTATGTTGCAATCTGTTTTATGGCACATCATCATGTCAATGTGGTAACTCACCCAAACCATTTAATTCATTCTTCACCTAGTTATTGTGTCAGTAATTGGCCAATGCCACCAAAATGAAACATTTCTGTCATTATGAGCCATAGCTTATGGTCAAAATGTTAAGATGTTTTTTTACTCCATGGCAGTCAACCCTGCAAATGTTTGTTATACTTAGGGCCTATACTTTTTGACACTGACTGTCAGTTTTGTCTGAATACAAGCTTTTTAGATACACATTTCAACATTAGGTAAAAGTTTACATGGGAAAGTTAATACTGTAGCACACAGAAAAAGAATATGCACATTGTACCTACATTTATTTTGTAGCATCGTGTAACATGTGAACAGAAAACATATGGGATGTCTGACTAATTTTGGCTCATGAAAGGATGTTTAGAAGTTGTGAAGAGTGACAAATTCACAGAGAATCATCAGTTTTGATCAGCAAGCCATGTGCATTTAGTTATTGTGCAATTAGACAATATTGAATAAGCCTACAGTTTAAATTCTGTTTGACTCCGATTAGCTTAATTTTGAACTGTTCTGATGAAACATCAATTTACTTCCTGAGAATAATGTTGGAAATACAACTACAAAGAATGTCTAAATCTGGCCTAAATTAAATGTTTATATAACTTCTAACAGCTGTTGAACATTCTCAGTTATAGCACCACCATGAACAATCTAAGTAGACATTTTGGTTCAAGAACACCAAATGGCCCATATGCCCCCTCTAATTCCATTCATTGATTTATGAAGATACTAGGCTACACCCCCAAAATAACACCTTTGTATGTTGCTTTTCAAACATTCTCCCTCCTATTGTCATTGGCAGTAGACACCACTTCACAGGTTTGTATCTACCTGTTGTCACATGCAGCCAGCAAGTGGTGTGTCATAGGCTACTTCTTAAAGGATGCCATGTTTCTACTTGGTTTTCAAGACTAAGGCCTATTTCCTGTATCCCACTCACACTTTCCCTATGATCATGGTAATGCCTGCTATATAAGTGTCTATTTTATTAGGTTATTAATATAGTATGCATTTTAACATCCTGAATTCAAAATTGGACAACTCAAAATTCTGTTCTCGTCTGATAATTTCCACAACATTAAGTGTCTGAAAGTAAAGTATTTTTGGCTTGTGTTAAAAAAATTTCCTCAAAAAAGTTCTCTCTTGTATAGGCTAAGTAAATTGGATATATAAAGAATTAAAACACCGTTTCATTGTTCACGTGATTTTACATAAAGCGTAGACACTTCTGTGTTGTGCTTGTGCCCATATGTGTTTTTCGAAGATATGCCATGGACATAAATTAATTGTTTGCATTTTGAGATGAAACCATAGACTGTATGGATGAAACTAACCGGAAGAAACTCATGTGACGTTTTATATAGCTTCGAGTTATTACAGTAACTCGGAAAAACCAAAATTCCCCAGTCCCCACCACAAACATGCAATGACGCAGGAAGGATGGCAACAGGCGTGTTCCTCGCTCCTATTGGTCACACGTCGACAGTGCTTCTCCCTGATTGGCCAGAATAATACACGCCTGAAGTACTTATGCTTTGTTGAGGATCCATTTTGTTGTTAGACGGAGACAAACTGGAGGAGAATAATACCATTCCGTTGTTGCCTCGGATTGTTATGAAGATTCACATATCGGGAAATATTTTCTCCATTAACAGCTACAGCTAGCAGACTAGACCACGGGAAGACGAAGGGCTTTTTCATCAAAGCCTGAGGAAGTCGGTAAGTTGTTTTTTACTGAGTTAAAGACATAGGGAGTCGTCGACGGTATTGACGCCATGTTGCGTTCAAGAGTCTTTTGTTTTGGTATGGTGCCAGAAAACATGACCTAATACCTTTATTTTTTTTATCATTTAAAGCTCAAGTATTTGCAAATTAACAAAATTATAGTATTTATTTGCGATTTCGAAATGTGTGTTTTTTCGTCGACAACGACTGATTTTGAACATAAGAGGGAGATTAGATGTTTATATAACACCACATCTTCAAAATATTAAAGATTTCGATTTTTAAACGATGAATTATATGAAAGGTTGTCTTATGTTTGACCCTAACCTAATTTTAGACTGGTTATTTACACGTTTACACAAAAAAATGGTTTAGTGAGATTTTATATTCGTGAGAAAATGAATGTTGTCTGCTGTTATATTTGGGAAAGATTTTAGTACTTAATATTAAACAAATCGTGTTTCTTTTGTTAGATTCACGGCTTCTAGAGCACCGTGCGCCGAGGTGAATTCATGTTCAACTCGGTTACACGACAAAACAACGCTCATTGGCACATGAAAACCTCAGATCTTGCTGGACCTAGACGTGCAGCGAGAAGTAGATCAACTACTTCGAGGACCTGGAGCCCGATCGGTGAAGAGAAATTAAAAAGTGAAGAAAACCAAGCACTCAACTTTTCTACAACAGTGAGGTAAGCAGAGGAAGCTAGTGGGGGATGGGCGGGGACGCGCTGGCTGTCTCGCGCTGCACGTAGCCCTTTGTTATTGCCAGCCAGCAACACGGGACATTTGGCAATTATTTTAAGCTTGTTTTTAAACCAGTTTGCACACTTTAACATTGTACTTTAAAAGGCACATCTATTTCCCATTGTTTAAACAAGGTTTACTTTTTTAACCTTAGGTGACATCCAGTTAAAGCAGTATGGGAGGTGGTGAGAGATACAACATTCCAGATCGCCCAGCGCCCAAGAAGAGCCACCCAATTGGCAGAGGCAAGCAGAGAAGTCGAGACCAGAATGGAGTGGTGCATTCCGCCTCCTCAGGAGCCTTAGGGGTGCCCCATCACCTCAGCCATCGCAGGGGTGAGAAGGGCACCAGCTATTCTTGGTCTCCTGAGGCGCGGCAGGCCGCGTCTGTAGACATGAAGAATGCTGCTGTTCGTTTTGCCACACCATATGATCAGAATTGGGAGGGGACCATGTCCCACCTGAACAAACTTTTGTCAGCTCAGTGTGGTCAGAACTATGCTGGAGCCAAGTTCAGTGAGCCCCCATCCCCAAGTGTTCTACCTAAGCCCCCGAGCCACTGGGTGTCTCTTCCCATCGGCGCTTGCGACCATCGTGAGATGATGACCTTTCAGTTAAAGAGCCTTCTGAAGGTTCAGGCATAACAAGGTCTCACTGCTGCTCTCTAAAGCCAATATGAATGAAGGCTCCGCTTTGACCTTTGCCCTCCCCTTGAATGCTTCAGCTGCGTAATATATTTTACAGCTATTTTTAGATTTGCGTCTTAATAAGGTGATGAGCATTTGACAGGCAGATGTTTCTCCTAAATGTCCGTCACCTAATTTTTTAAAAGAAAACCGCTCCACTAGTTATTACGTCATTGAGGCCTTAAGGGGTGGTCGAGAACCCTTAGCGGAGCTGTACGCCATGACAAATGATGAACTGGATGTCCTCCTAATAACTCATTGCTCTGTTATGCTCCTGTTTTGTTTTGTTCTTTTTTTGATGGCTGTTTTTGACAGTGTTTTTTTTTTTCTTCTCAACCTGGCCTAGGAGTAGATGTCAAGACAACTCGCACCATTTCCTTTCTAATATTTCGCGTTCTGTTTTTCGCTTGCTGAGGTTTGATGCGCACTCTCGGCTTGAGTTTTAATCATGCAGGGAGTGGTGGAAACCTCTTGGTGCTAAGCACAGCAGCATTTGTAGCATTATAGTGCGTACCGCATTTCCAGGTATCTTTTTTTATTTTGCTTTTTGGGAAGTAAAAGCCACTTGACGTCGTTCTGCAGGGAGAACTAAGCGAACAGAATACGGAGGGGGGACAAGCTTAAGTGAAAAGGTCATTTAACTAGCCTCAAGCTTAATGAGGTGGCACAATGGACCTTGTGCTTTCAACACCTGTACTTCTTTTTTAATGGCGCTGTGCGCATTGCACTATAGGTGTTGAAATTCATTAAGGTTCACAAGCTCTATTGCAGCGTTAAGCTTGTACTTTTTGCATCCCTTATGGTATAGCTTAGAAAACTAAGTGTTTTTTTTTTTTTTTTTTTTTTTTTTTATGTCTACCAAAGCTACGTAATCAGCAATTTTCTGTTGGAATCCCCCTTAGCTTAACCAGATCTGGTTACAAGTGCCATAAATCATTGGGTAAGGCATTAGCGTATATCAAGGTTTTGGTTGACAAATCATTTTTTGGAATTAATTTTTTAAACTTTGCTGTACTTTTAGAACGATCACAGAGCAAATATGCGGAGGATGGTTATGATGCGAGACCATAGGACAGATGTTTTCTCTGGTCTTGTCTCAAAGCCTTGTTTGCTCTGTGATGTGTTTTGATATTATAAGCATTATGTTATGAAATGTGTGTATTATGGCACGGGGGAAGTGAGAAATGAGGCGCAAGTCCAGTGTGGACATGTTTACATTGTTAAAAAAAAAAAAGGCAGGATGCCGGCATTTTACACACACTGCCCTTTCTCACTTGTTGTTATTCTTGCACTGCTGTTCATTTGTGTTCAAAAGTTTCAGACAATGTTGCTCTTTCAACTGTGGATATGTGAAGCACCCCTTCCCACTTAGTAATGCGTGTGGCGGAAAAAAACTACCTCTCTTGCAGAACGTGATATTAATAGCTATCTTAAAGATGACAAAACAAAGCTGATAAGTTTTGGATGTGTGTAATGGAGCCATGTAAATAATGAAATGTATAAAATGTTGTAGCATATTGTACATTTGTGCAGGAACGTTTGAAACCTGCAGATAAAGTATTTTTAGTAATAACACTGAATGTAAAAGTCACGCTAAGGACGTGGCTTGTTTTCAAATGCTGAAGAATATTTTGTTAAGAAAAAAAGAGAAAATTTTGCCTATAGTGCGTCAAACCCCCTGCACTGTGCAGTTTGTTGCCAGTGATCTTGCACATAATATTTTTATTTTGTAAAATGCACCATGTAGGGGCAGAACGAGCTTTAAGTGCAAGTAAAAAAAAGATGGAATAAATTTGTTTTGAAATCGAAAGGGACTTTTATACGTTGTTTTTGAGTTGCCTATGCAAATAGTAATTTTGTTTTAATTTTTGCTTGGTTATAATGGTACATTTTGCCCTTTATCCAGAGTCCATAAAGTAGTGTTACATTTGCATCAAGTCATTGGTCTTTCCTCCGCAGGCCAATGTTTGATGCCAATGATGCTGCATTTACCTCCAGAAAAGCCAGATTACATTTTAACCTTTTAAAGTAAAAAGTAAATTATTTTAATAGCATGTGTAAAAGTCCTTTTCCTAAATTTGGCTGTCCCGAACAATTGGCTTTGAATTTATCCCAACTTTGTAAGTGTCACTTGAAATGCAAACTGAAAGCCCTTTTGGTACGAATTGGTATACTAAACGATTGTTTAATTTGGTTGTCTAAAAAAATAAAATCCCTTCCCTTCCCCCCCAATATGGTCTTTGTGTGTTATGTTTTTTTTTTTTATCTGTTGTCTGAGTTTACATGTAAACAAAAACATAATGGATGTTAGTTTTAAATGCTGTTAATATTTGGCATAGTTTTTCATTTTATTTTTTCTGCATTTAGAGAAACTTTTCACCTAAACCCTACAGTGAACAATATAATTAATTCCATTTAAAGGAGAACATATATACTATTTTATTTTTAGTGATGTACAAATATGTGTTCTGCGAAAATTAATGTCGAACGCTACTTCCAATTCAAGCAGGAGGGCACGTAGGTCAACTGACAATTCTGTTGGACTTCGGCCCAGAGTTTCAAAGGCAAGCTCAGTCTGATCACGTAGACCGCAGAACACACTTGGAAGGTTTTATTACGGTGGTTTATGACGAGTCATTAACAGAACGAACTGTTGATAATGTTCTTTCAGTCCGTTTGAATCCTTTGGAAAGATTTGAAAATGCATAGGGATAACTTATTTTATTTGTGTAATTATTACACTATAACAAAACAGGCAGACTAAATATCTGTCATAGACTGTCAATACAGATTGAAGTCATAAAAATGATGAAATAATTGTACGTGACAAAATGAAAGGTTTATGGTTGACAATGAGTAATTTTACCGCAGCTACAGAAAAACAGGAAATGAATGGCTGGTATTTGGCAAACTGTTTACAGTTTCAGAGCTCGTTTTAAAAAGACGTATTTGTTTGAAACTAAGCTTATAACAAACATAGAATTCAGGATACAGGCAAACTGGTTTGTACCATGAACATCTCACACTAGTTCTCAACGGCGGAGAATGTCACTATTGTAAAATTTGGATGCACTATCGTGCTTACGTTTTCACTGTTGTTTCACTGTTGCTTACGTTTTCTGTGGTTATAGCCTCTAGCGTACTATTCGATTAACACCGATAGCAACATGGAATTAACACTAATAACACAAAAAAAATGATTTAAGAAAAAGTATAAATAATACAGTTATTATAATTACTTTAAATTATACATAATCATGAATTATATTGAAAGCTTCTGGTGTAAATAACGTATTTTAATCAAATTCATTTAACTGCCAAATGGAGAAAAAAAAGTGCGCAACGTTGGATGCCGTGGTTTCTGTTTTGTTTTCCACAGCACCATCAGCTGGCAACGAGCTACATTTACTGGTTTCGGTAATGCAGACGTCACTTATTGAAGAAACAACAACCTTTCAATAATTGTATGGAATTCAAACCACTTAATACAGCTTGAAAAGTGAGAATTAATTTGAGCTAAAAGTAGTTGTACAAACTATTCCACATTCACAATATGGTTATTTAGTTCTGTTTTGTGTATTCGAAATTCACTTTTGCGGTATGAATGTGTATAATTTATACTGAAGAACAAAACGTGAAACGCTCTTACAGAAATGTTATTGTTAATGTTAAATGTTAATATTATTTTACTTTTTTTTTTTTAAATCGACCGTGTGAAATTTATTTCCGGGACTTGCCTACAAAGTGACGCCATCGTTTTTTTAATACAATTTTTTTTTATTATCAACAAAGTTTGTACAAACACTTGTGTATACATTGACATACAATATAGATAGGCTATAACAAAGACTTTCACACTAGGGGGCTATTGCTAATTTATATGAAGATATTAAAGCAATTGCAAATTTTCAATCTTTTAATTGCTTTTTGCTTCATAGAAAATCGGAGTGAATCAATATAAAGCTCAATTTCTTTCCTGAATGAAGTAAAATACGTTTTTTTACAGGAGAATTTACATTTATGAAAATACAATTTTGCCATTAAAAGAATAAAATTAATTATATAAATCTGACAATGCTTGATTCCACTGTTCTCCCAAAAAGTGACGCCATCGTGGGAACTTTTATTATGAAAGGGTGACGTATTTTTTTTTGTTTAACTAGGAACTGCTCGGGCATGCGCAGAACAAATAATTTTTACCTGTCAACGTCTTTAATCAAAAATGGTTTCAACCGCAGAGTGTCAACGCAATATGCATTGATGTCAACTTTAACGCTGCTGTATAACAGATGGCTTTACTGAGAGCAGATATGTGATCTCACCAGCGGAGTCCGGGAAAGCGTTTAGCTGTCAGTACACCCACCGACGTCGCACCTGACCGTACATCGCTCACAACCTATTCATCCATCTATCCATCTATACATTCGCCTGCCTTCAAGACTAACAACCCCCCTCAACCCCTCACAGCTCAGACCTTTTTAAAAAATCGTCGTCGACTGACAACGGTAAGCAGCAGCTCAATGGAGAGAATCATGTGCTCTATAGCGAGCGTACAGTAGCTTAGCAGTTAGCGTGTTCATGACATTTGATCGTGTTTGGATGGCTATTCTCAGTATGTGGAGGAGGCAACGTTATCGTATCAAGTGGAGAGATTTAAAGAGATGTTTACTACGAACCACATATTCATCATTGTCACACTGGCTAACCGCTATTGAGGACCTCAGAGGGGCCTTCTCATCACATCAATGGTCCCTTGTTTCCCATCAGCAGATTATGGGAAATCACAAGCCTGCCAAATGCAGTGATGCTATGTTTTTTCTAAATTTAATTCATTCCAGTTTAAAACAGAGTCAGATTTAGAAGGGCTTAATATGCATACTTGTTTTGGTTGGTGTGATCTTGTTTTGGTTTTGGATAGAGTAAAAACTGGGCTGTTATGATGCATCTTAAAGGGACAGTTCCATCCAAAATGGAAATCATCATTTACACATCCCCATGTTTTCTGTATGGCTTGCTTTCTTCTGTGGAACACAAAATGAAAATTTAAGCAGAATGGCAGCCTCAGGCACCCCAATGAAACGTTTTTATTTTTATTGCAGGTTTTTTGCAAGAATTTAATGCTTTTTTCAATAACATAACTGCTGTTAACAGCAGATTAGAATGGAGTAAAATGTGGAACTATTTATTTTTTCCCTAGTCAGTGCTTTATTGTTGTTATTCTTTGCCTTTTATAGCTTAAAGTGTCTCACCTACAACTGAGTCACATCTGTTAATAATTCAACAGCCTCCCACAGCATCTCCACCAGTGACAGTGAGCTCTTCTGACCACTGAAGTGCTGCTGTGTTTGGTTGGTTGAGTGTTAAATACTACTTGGTTAAGCTTAATGTTGAGTATGCTGGAATCTGTGTGTAAGCTCTTTTTTCCGTCATCAAGCATGTGATCTAAACTAAAACATTACTCATTGAGTACACACATTGAGTTTAACCTTTGTGCATTTTCCCCTCTGTTCCTTTAAACTGAAGGTGTGATGTTTGTACGTGACCTCGGAATCGGCTTTTAGTCCCATCGTGTAGGACGATGAATGCAGAGGAGTTGGAACTCCTTGGTGACTCGAAGTACAGGAACTATGTGGCAGCAGTAGATAAGGCCCTAAAAAACTTTGAGTACTCCAGCGAATGGGCCGATCTGATCTCAGCACTCGGAAAGCTCAACAAGGTCCATTTCTACATCATCTTGATCACATTTAGTAGCAGTTCCAAACCTGACAGTTGCTTTACTAATCAAATTTTTCTGTATTTGTTGGACAGGTTTTGCAAAACAATGGCAAGTATCAGGTTGTGCCCAAGAAATTGACCATTGGAAAGCGCCTGGCCCAATGCCTCCACCCGGCGCTGCCCAGCGGGGTTCACCGCAAGGCCCTGGAGACCTACGAAATCATCTTCAAGATCATTGGACCAAAGCGCCTGGCGAAGGATCTTTTCCTCTATAGGTAGAGATATTGCAAGATTGATTTTTCTGCTACTGTGACTTTTAGTGCTTAATATGTGCTTTTTTTAAACCTTTTCCTCCTCCTCAGTTCTGGACTCTTCCCTTTGCTATCCAATGCTGCTATGTCTGTGAAGCCAGTATTACTTGGGTTATATGAGACCTACTACCTGCCCTTGGGGAAGACTCTTAAACCAGGCCTGCAGGGACTCCTGACCGGTGTAATGCCTGGTCTGGAGGAGGGATCAGAGTATTATGACAGGTAAAAAAAAAAAAAAAAAAGTTTTTAAATCTAGAATGTACTTGTTTCATGTTTATTAAATATGTATACTACTGTTTATATTACTACTATTATTATATTAGTACAGTAATATTGTGAAACATTATTGCAATTTAAAATTAAAATTAATTTATTCCTGGGAATTTCTTATTATTTTCTTATTTCTTATTATTTTCAATGTTGAAAACATTTGTGTTGCTTAATATTTATTTATATATAGTATTGTGGAAACTGATTTTTTTTAAAGGATTCTTTGTTAATTTAAAAATTGCCTTTATTTTAAATGTTTTTTTTAACAATGTAAATGTCTTTACTGTCACTTTTGATCAATTAAATGCATCCTTGCTAAAAAAAATGTGTTTCTTTAAAAAATCTTACTGACAAACCTTTAAACAGCAGTGTGTATTATATGTTCTTAAAAAAAGAATAAATAAATAAATTAAAACTAAACACTAAAAACAAAAATCCATTATTTCAAATGCATATGCATAGAAATTCATTTAGAAATTTACAGTGTTATTAAATTATTAGCGTTTTAAAAAGATTAAGCGCTAGATGAAGGTGATCTTCATGTATAAATAGAACTAATGAGCATGCACAATTAAATATCCAATATCAGCTGAGATATTTACATGTATGTGTGTGTGTGTATATACATGTATCTACAATATCGACTAATACCAATAAATAAAAACAATAGGTCCAATACCCTGCTAGAAAAGGTGGCAGCAGCTGTGGAGCAGCCGGCCTTCTACAGTGCCCTGTGGGGCAGCATCCTAACCAGCCCTTCTGTGCGTTTGCCTGGAGTGTCCTTCGTCCTACTGCACCTTAACCGAAAACTATCAATGGAGGACCAGCTGTACATCATTGGCAGTGACATCGAACTGATGGTACACTGATCAATAGGGGCAAAATGCAAGCAAAACAGCCTTTAAAAATGAATGAA